ATTTTTGAGGGGTAACTACGAGAAAAGCAAGTCCAGAATGTTCTGGCCTCTTGTTGGGGTCCTTACATACTGTTTCAAGCTGCTATTCACACAAAAATCGACAATTTGATTAGGTAACTGTAGCGTAGAAGTATTAATAGGTGGGTCTAAAGACCAGTCAATTTCTTTCATGTTGAAATCTCCAACTACAAACACGTTATTTTTGTCTATAATCGACGAGATCATCATAAAAAGCTTTTTAGAATTTCTTGAGTTGCAAGAAGGTGATCTATAGACATTAATAACTAAAAGAGGTACCACACCCACATCTATTTCAACTACCAAGATTTCAAACCCGTCTTTAACAGAATCGGAAAGTATTACATTGCATTTTAAATGAGATCTGACAAACACTCCAACACCGCCACCTCTACCTATAGAACGGTCCGCTTTAAACAGACTATAATCATTGGGCCCTAAACACGATGAAAAAATTGAGGGAGGAGAGCTAGGAGTCAACCAAGTTTCTTGGAAGCAAACGATATCATACTCTTTGGAACTTAATAGAAAAACCACCTCAGAACGATTAGATACTATAGACCGAATATTAGATGTTAAAACTCTCAGACACAAATCATTCGGATACAATGAGCTAGAACTGACTTTAATTGGGGGGATACTAGAATTTAGAAATTTATATATATATGCTCCTCAAAAAAACTGTAAATTTCGGAAAATTTTACAGTTTCAATGATCTTAGAAATAACGAGAAAAATTAACGGTTTGTTAGAATTCTAGGTGCTACCCCGCATTAGAACTGGCCGCATCAGAACTGACCCGTATTAGAACTGGCCGGATTAGAACCGGGTACTTCCAAAGTATCTGAAAACTCGAAAAATTGAGGAAATGTTTAGGGCCACAATGTCATTTTCTGTACGAATATTCAGCCTCAAGTCGCAACTGGGAGCTTGAATATGGCCCGGTTCTGATCCGGAAAGTTCTAATACGGGACAGTTCTAATGCGGGGTTGCACCGAATTCTAGTTTGTAGCGGAAAACAACTCTGTATTCAAATCAACAACCCACTCCATAGAATTTTATGAATTCTAGAAACATTTCATATTTCTAAAAAGCTAGGAAGAAACTTTTGAGAATTATTCTGCGTTCTTTTTTCTGCTACTTTCGAAAATCTCAGATAAGATTGTCTGATATTTACTTGTGATTGCTTCTTCTTATACTGTTTGACTGACCCACTTAACTTATTTCGAGTTCAATTTTTTCTTTGTTATCACTCATTTCACTATCAAACCAAAAAACAGTTTCCTAACACTTTGAATTTGAACGGAAATCAGTTGGTTCGGGGCCCGTAGAATTAATTGTTCAGAATGAAATTTATCCGAAATAAGTACTACTAAAAACGTAATTTTTGTTTTAAAAATACAAGGAGCATTCAACTGGACGACACAGTTTTTTTCAATCAAGCAAGTGTCTGTCCGCGGAATCACTTGATAGTTGGTCTCCAGCTCAATCTATACCACTTTATAATATAAGAACCCCGGGATTCGGCTCTTCAATTGTAAAAACCCCATTCTGGATTTTGAAAAACCTTCCATCGGGAACCTTTCCTGAAACACAATCTATTTTTCTCCAAACTCGATCGAGTTAATATCACTTATTTCCGAAACACTATTGTTAAAAAGGAGGTTGCATCATTTGACGTAAGTAGTTTTGTATGGGTCTTTCTATTATAAACTATATTTGTTCGCAGCATAAAATTAAATGTCACTATTTTTTTCAATAGTACCCTGTTATTACAACTGCTGGAAACTGCGAATTTTGGAAATGTGCCGTTTCAGTGTTTCATCAAAAAGTTACAGATTCAAGTGATAAACCGCTACACGAGTGGAAAATGTCCTTAAAACAAATGTATTAGCTTCGAAAATTCACACTTGCTGGGAAATATTAGTAAGTATTTTTACTGATTCACTCAACTTATTTTGGCTTCAACCTTGTGCTTGTTATCACTTACATGATTATCAAACTGGAATTTCAGAACACCTTGAAATAAAACACTACCGGTCGTAGGACTGTTTGCAAAAGTATTTATCCGAAATAAAAACTTTTAAAAACGGCAATTTTTAATTTTTTTTTTAATTTAACAGCATTACTGGGAGTATTTAATTATCTTGAAGGTAAAGTTTTTCTTCCAGCTTATACTGTCGTAATAATTATTTTTGGGAGTCTATTAAATCACTTCTATAAACTTTTAAGAAATTATGAGAAAAAACTTGGGATGGAGTTTCTGAAATTTTTCTATGCTTCCTGAAATATGATGTAGTATTGATTGATATTCAATGATGTTGTTGAAGAGCTTTACAGTTTCACTGAACTTATTTCAGCTTCCGAATTATTTTTCTTATCACTACTGTCAGGTTTCCTTTTACCATTGAAAATAACGACCTTCTGAACAGCATACCTAAAATTTCATTGAAATTTTCTCCTTCATGGATCTTGGAGAGTCATAAGAAAGAAGAGTCGGGAGGGGGGGGGACCGTAATTATCGGCACTATCGTTCATGGTCTAGAATATACCACTTTCCAAAAACTGTAATAAAATAATTTTCGAAGTTCTTGGGAAGTTGGAAATCGAGAGACCTTTCCTGGACAGACCTTTTTCCAAAGTTCAGTGTCATGATAGACTGAAAGCATACCGGTCACCTAACAAACTAAATTTTTGGGCTGTTTGTGAATTTCATTCCAGGTTGTAACAGTAAGAACGGAAAAACCAAGGTTTGAAAAGAAACAATCGTTAATCCTGTAAATTTGGTGATTTGAAAATGTTTTTGACTCAAGTCTTCGGCTACAACGTGGAACCAAATTTCCAAAAAGGTAGAGAAAAACCGTTGATTCAAACTGGTATTTACAATCAACTACTCAAAACAATTCAATCGATCTTATTTTTCACAGAATTGATTGAAACAACTTCTAGAAACTGTATAATGTTCACTAGCTTCCCGGACGGTTGAATTTTAGAAAAACGATAAACTTGCCAAAAAATTTCCAGTTTGGATAACTATCACTGTTTCAGAACGAAGACTTTCACTCTTCCGTTTATTTAGCAAATGATTTTCAAGTTTTTGGCGACTTCGCTAAAAAAGGTGTTGCTTTTGAAATCGGTGATGAAAAGTCTCGATATTGAAACGTTTTTCCCGTTCATTGATGAATGATTATGAGCTCACCCTTGTGTTCATCCTGAAACTGTAACGAAATATATCTCATGGCATTTCTGGCTCCTGAGTTTCAGTTACCGTAATCTAGACTTTGTCGTCAACAAGCTTCTTGCTCAGTCTTAAAATTGTACCAATCACCAAATTAATGGGTGTGTCTAAAAACTACAGTATACCCAATCACAATCACCTAGAAAATGTCAACAAACGATTGACAGTGACGATTCGTCATTAATAATTTCATAACTTCATAAACTGACTGATAATAATTACCACTCCCAAAAAGAATCAAGACTGTCTGCGTCTGAAGATTCTCATAGTCTCCGCCCATCTTCTACCAACCTTCCAAAAAAGGAGAGAAAGCAGAAATAGTGTTGACGAGACATTTTAGACTGACAAGGGAAGTATTTGACGGAGCGGCTTTAGGATCACGTATAAACTTGCATAGACATAGTTTCAGACATGGACAACCAACTTATGAAATAAAAACCGGCTAAATGTTTTTTGGAGCCGAGTTGTGAGCTTTCGAATTTTTGCTCACTCGAAAAAATAGCGAAAACACTATTCTCCCGGACGCTAGCTCATTTTAACGATTCAATTATTTAAAATATTGCTTTTCATGCTCACTAAACTCAATTGCAATGAAAAAAAATCTCGAAAAAATTTTGAAAAAAAAATTTCCTACCCAATGTATGGCCAAAATGTGGTCTGGCTCGAAAAAACAGTTTTCGAGTTTTTGATCGGAAATCATTCACATGGGCCTATAAAAGATGGAATTCCACTCAAATTGTCAAAAAAACTTCTCTAACCTGATTTATGATGATTAGGCATGAACACAAAAAATTCAAAAAAAAAAATTCTATGCGGTGGGAAACGAACCCACAACCTGTCGCACCACAACCGGCGCGCTTCACCGCTGCGCCACCAGAGATGTTTACTACTGGGTCAAGAGAAAATAGACTATTCGCCAGAAGTCCGCCTAGCCGAGCCTTAACCATAGCGAAAATTCGAAAGCTCACAACTCGGCTCCAAAAAATATTTAGCCGGTTTATATTTCATAAGTTGGTTGTCCATGTCTGAAACTATGTCTATGCTAGTTTATACGTGATCCTAAAGCCGCTCCGTCAAATACTTCCCTTGTGAGCAAGACGACGGGCGCATAAAAATAAAACATTCAGTGTGTTCGAATCACTCGTTCTTTTTCGTTTCGAAGTCTTCTCAATTCTATTCTGCCATCTAAGATAATAATGTCTCGTCACGCTGACGTCTACACCGATGGTGCATGCACCAACCAAGGATTGTCTGGAGCGAAAGCCGGATATGGAGTCTACTTTGGAGAGGGTGAGTGTTTTTATTAGAATTTTTCTAAAATTATCTAAAATGATTCATTGGATTTCTTCGACTTCCAGGTAGTCGATACAACCAGTCTGGTCGTGTTAATGGGATCCAGGACTCCAACCGTGGAGAGCTTCGCGCTGCTCAGGAGGCCATAAATTTGGTGAGTTTATTTTTTGATAATACTTTTTTTAACTCTCAAAGTTTTAGGCCAAATCCCAAGGATTGGGGAGCATTACCATTCACACCGACTCGCAATACGTCCGTGATGCGGTCCATGGAGCATCTGGATTCCAGAGGTCAGTTTCCCGAGGATTTAGAAAAAAGAGCTCAAATTTTAAATTTTTCAGCGCTGGCCAGAATCGTGACTTAATGCAATCAATTCACGATTCCGTTCGCACCACCGGCATGAGAGTCAACGTTGAGTTGGTCAAGGGACACTCCAATGATCCTGGCAACGATGCAGCTCATAAGCTCGCTACTGCTGGAGCCAAGCAGTAAATTGCTCTCTGAATAACTCGTCATCGAGACCTGCCGGCGCTGCAAGTGCCCTGTTAACCTGTTTTGAATAAAAGTATATTTTTTTCGAAGCAACGAACGAGTTTTCAATTAACCTGGAAGAGAACTAATAGGGAATAGAAAGCCTGTTTCATGATGTAGATTTCAGAAGTTTCTAAAAGGTTTTCCGCTCCAAAGTGCCTGTTACTTTCATCATCTTTCACGATGTAGAATATTTTGGCACTCGTTTTGAGCAGAACAATACTTTTCCAAACTGCTTTGGGTCCCAAAACTGGAAAAGTCACTGCTTCAAGACTTTGATATTGGAAAATTTTTTCTAACATAACATTCATTCTTTTTTCCTTTTTAGTTATGTTTTCAGGGCTTCAGTACTCTGTTCAATTGGTTTCGATTCAGTTTATGAATCGGATACGTTCACAGAACGTAGTAAGAATTGGAAAAAAACAGTGAGCACCTATGAAATAAAGAAATGAGAAACTGTTTCGAAATCTTTACTTCAAACATTCACATAAAAGTCATTCGTTCATGTGTCTTAATGGTTTTCTATCGAGTCATGTTCTCAACTTCATCAAATTTTCATCCATGATGAAACGCAAGATAAATGAAAACTTGGAAAAAAACACCGTTCCGAAGGGTCGATTTCAGAAGTATGGAGAGAATGCTAGAATCCATTGGGCTTGAATTTCTATTTTTCTGTTACTCCGAATAACATCAAAATGAATTGGAATCCCTGTTTCTAGTTCTAGATTTCTGAAGTTCCGAGAATGATCGTATATTAGATCGCGTATTTATGTGAGAAAAATGGTGTATCAATTTCTCGGTTTTATGAGCTTTCCTGGAGTGATAAACTGGATACCGACCTATGTTCATACTCCTGCCGGGCCAAAATGACACAAGTACACCTATTATGAACGGTAACATAAAATATAAACCAAAAAGTTACTGTTGCTAAATTATGACAAATAACTGAACAGAATAGCCTAATTGATTTTGAAAGACTTGTTGGAAATAATTCCAGCACTTGAAAATGAATTTCATAAACACGAGTTTGTTCTTTGAAAATTGAAAAACTATAAAAAATGAGAAACCTGAAAAAAATGAGAAAAACTCAGTTTCAGAAGTTTAAAGAAAATACTTTTATGTTGCTTGATTAGTACATGTTTAGAAAGAATTCAATTGATTCAACTTGAACAAATTACTTCTTTCACTACGAAGGGCTTCAATACGAATTTTTTTTAGAATTAACGGTGTGAAAGCTATCAAAAGTAGAAGCGAGTAACAGAATACACACCATTCATAAAAAGAATGTGAACCGGGAAAAAAAAAGAAGAAGTCGATAATTTTTTACCGTTTACAGTTTACCGTTTCACTAACTTCTCAAGGTGGAACAACAAAAAAATATTCACTCCAAGGCCAGTTGCTATAACAAATCCTTTTGTTCTGTTCAAAAATAGTTTTATCGTAAAACTGAAACCAAGCCCGCAAAACACCATCACTTCAGAATGAAAAACTTATAGTTTATTATTCTCATACAAGTTAAATTAGTCACAATCAAAAAATCACATTATTAATTAAAAAACTAAGGCAATGGCCAATTCTTGACCAAATCCTCTCCACGATAAGGTTTATAATTCATATTCTTATTCGAATTTCTAATAATTCCATCTTTCCGTGGGATATCCTCTTCCACCCGATCCACTTTTTCTTTCTCTGGCACTTTGAATACAATCTTCTTTGGAAGAAGTATCCCCTCATCCTCATTCCGAGCATCACTAATCTCCACTCTTCCACCATTTTTGAGTCGAATGAAGAATATATTCCGTTTTTCGTAGTAGAAGATTTTATTGCAATCCACAATATTCTTTTCTTCGATTAGGAATAAAAATGATTCTTGAATATGGAAGGATGGGTTGACCGTCACTGTGCATTCCAGGTTCTTGTCAGGGCGGTTGTGTTTTCCAAAGGCCTGCAAGAAGTATTCGTTGGTATTAGTTTATGGATCAGGACGTTTCAGAGCTGAGCTTAAGAACTTATGAAAGTGAGCTGGACTAGTTTTGGCCTCATCGGGCTCTTTTGGACCGATTCAACCTGCGTTGGTTCCAAAGCGGCCAGGTCTATCACCAATCATACTAAAACAACCGTTGGCCTGAAGAAGATATAAACTTCATGTAACCGGAAAATGTTCTAGACCACATTGTTTACAGATTTCTAAAAAAAAATCCCCCACACCTCCTTCTTCTACCATGACTAACCTTCAAAAGTGCCTTGAAATGAGAATAGAATTTCTCATTCCTCGGAAATCTGACATCAATCGTTTTGAGATGAATAAAGTTCCGATAATCCTTTGGTTTAACCACAATTCCAAAATCATAAATATCCAAATGTCTCAAGTGTTGCCATTGTTCAGTTGCATATAAATCCTTCAGAATATTCCGATCCGAATTCATATCGAATTGGAACTTTTCACGGACAGCTCTGTCATTCCACACTCGCAGTTTCGCAGATTTCAGCACTTTGGGCTCCAGAAAATTCCAGAAAATTGAAATGAAGGATTGGGCACTATTGGGAACTGATCCATACTGGAAAGTTGTCATGAAGAATTCGGTGACTTTGATTTTATGAGAGAGGTTGTTCATAAAGTATGAATACATCTTCCAGAAGAATGAACGGAATGGATACATCACTGGATCCTCGTGTTCCATTATATCGATTCCCAAATATCTGAATTCCGCTTCTGGATGTCTGACCATATAGAATAAATCCTTGGCTGCCAGTGACTGATATTTGATTCCTTTTACCAATACTTTTTCCTCTTCATAAATGAATAAACATCCATCCTCATGACATATATAATCGATTAAAGCGGCCGTTTTGGTGAAAGAGTGACGGATTTCCATGGTGATTTGTCGATGGCCAATGTGTACTTTGATGCTGTCGATTGGGAGATTGACCAGTTTGATTGGGGTCAGCTTGCGAATGTGTAATCTGGAATAGTTATTTTCTTAAAAGTTTTAGACTGAACTGTTTAGTATGCATTTAACGTGTCTTCCGTAATGTAAAAGTATTTCTGAATTATGAGAAACAGAAAAAAAAACTTTGGATTCAAATTATTCGAAATCCCTGAAGGTAGAATTAGTTTTTATCAGAAGCACCTAGTATTAAAACCAGAACCGGCCCAAAGTTTAACGAAGTCGTATTGAAAGTTTAGTAAAGAATACTGCTAATTCAGCTACATGAAACAGTATTACTCTAGACTGTATTCACCTAGAATTCATAAGTTTTCGTACCAAATTCAAATTGAAAGTGCACCCGATATTCGGAAAAATCACCCTCTTCCCGCCCCCTGCTCCACTCACATTTCCAAAACCTCCTCCAGCTCCAAACGTCCGTTGTTATATTCTGTGAATACACTGATTTCATCTCTTCCCAAATTCCTGTAGACTCTCTTCACAACATCCAATGTCAACACGTCAAATGACTCAATTGATTCTTTGTCGTCTCCAACTTCATCTATGATTTCAATCCCACCACCATCAGAATCGATATCCTCATATCCTTCTTCTCTTGTAGGCTCCATCTCCTCCTCCACATCACTATCCGAGAAATCCTGTTCTTCTGATTGTTTTGACATCTTTGGTGGGGGTCCTTCGGCTCCTGAAAATAGAAAATTCTAGATTTTTCTTGAAATTTGAAAGTTTCCTTACTTGGAGCTTCTCGATTCTTCCGCCCACTACCACTGATAAGAAAACGACGAATATTTTCAAGAGCTTCTTCTGGAGATCTCCTGTCGTCGAACTCATTGCTGATGAGCTTCTGGATTTGACGATTCGATGGTTGTGGATCCATTGGGGAACTGCAAAATATGTTGAAAATTTTGTTTGAGATGGAGAACAAGAGCAAAAAAAAATTAAAAAGAAACAGAAAATAATGAGCAATCGAAACAGGAAAGAAAACGATGACAAATGTGGTTTTCCCGCCGTTTGATCTACCTTCAATCTTTGAGGAATAAGAAAATTCGAGAAAATTATTTTTGATCTACCAGTCAAAAAGATTTGAAATCGTTGAAAAATAGGTCTG